AGATGGTGGCCGTAAGCAAGGAAGTGCAGTAAAAGCCTCACCAGAGAGGAGAGTGAAACTGGTTGCAGAAAGCTTCGCAAAAGCAGCAATAGAGGATTTGAAAGAGAAAGTTTAAACAAAAACGAAGATGCAGAAGTGAAAAGACGGAGAGAGTGAAGAGATTTTGATCAAATACGCAGATGCAAGGTGACTTAATGACGCATATCAGACACGGCTCAGTAGAGGAAAGATGCGTGGCAGAAACGGTTGAAAAATTATACGTGTCAGCTCATACGCATGAAGAAAACTCTTGAAGTTCTTGATTTAATGAAACAAATACCTCGGCTAGAAGGACAGTTTCGGCTGAAAAACTTGAACGAATTTGGTTGTTGGTTCCAAAGCCTTGATGAAAGCAGACTATAGGTTTGGGTCATATTGAGCCGACGAGTTCTGACTTCGGCAATAAATGATGAAGCAAGCTTAGCCGATGTGCTAGATGAAAGAGATAATATAGGTTTCATCACCTCAGTTTACCGAGGTAATAGAACCTAGGAGGCAGTTGTGGGGACATATATTTTGGGTAGTCCACGTGGCCGAGGTTGTTGGCCGAGGTACTACGTAGGCAGATCATGTTTGCCGAGATATTTGGGGCACTGCCGAGGTATTCTGCGGCAATACCAGAATCCGAGATAAGCGAATAAGGGATAAGAGTCCTAGAATGGGAGAAGACTTCAGTTTGGGTAAAGATAAGACTCTTAGAGAGTTTATCCTAATCCTACTGGGAGTGCAGGATTAGCAGTAATCCTGAGTCTATTAGAGTTAGGCTTCTATTGGGACTAGGATTGAATTTGCTTAAAGGTACAAATTGTCTCCTATGATTATGAAAATTACATCTTGCCTCTTGAAATTTTTAATTTCATAACAAATATGTCTTTTTATTAATAAATCATTAAGTCAATTAATAATTTTTAATTATGTCAAAAAATTTATTTTAATTAATAATTCAAATAATTATATTATTGTATAGGAGAGTATTTAGGAATTTTATTTTTTCAATTAATTCTGTTAAATAAAAAAATTATGACAAAAGGATATTTGAAAATTTTCAAACTCCAAAGGGCAATCTATATTTTAAGCAAATCTTAGGGAATACATTTATAATTTACCCCCAAAAAAAATTACTTAAATTAATGCAGAGTTTATGTCATCTTCATTTTTAAAATCATTCTAAAAATTAATTTTTTATGTCATCTTCATTTTAAGTAATATCAAAATTAGTTCTTAAAATCACCATGAAGATGACATAAATGAGTAATAATTAGGCACTATGAAGATGACTTAATTTATGTTATCTTCATGATGCCTAATTATTAAAATCTTTCTTAAAATTACTTAAATTAATTATTAAAAATTGATGAAAAAAAATTTTTTTTTTTGAGCAGAGATAGTATTAGATTTAGTCAATACTTCAAAAAAAAATCTTGTTGAAGAAAATAAAACCAAACAAATGAATAATTCAATTGTAAATGTTCCTTTTTTTGTTTTAGGCAAGTAGGAAGTACATGTATGATTCAATTTTGTTGCAAACACCAAACGGATCTCTCAAATTTTGATGCATTCAAAATGTACAAATTAGGTAGAGAATTGAGCAATTTTACCATATAAGAAGTTACTTTGTTAGTATCATTTAACAAATATATTCATTTAGTAAACAAGTCTTAGGTACTGATATCTTGAGTCTTACTAAACAAGTTCTCTAGCTCCACTACTAGATACCCTTATTTTGGCAAGAAAGATGATCAACACACAAAACTAAAAAATAAAACACTAAGGTAGCGTTTGGTAGAGTTTTGTAAATGTGATTTGAGAGTATAAATTGTATTTTGAGTTTGTGTGTTGTGGAATTATGATTTGAGTGTAGAAAATTTGTTTGGTAAAGAGTTTTGAAAAGAGTTTTGAAAAGAGTTTTGATTTGAGTGGGGAATTGTTGATGTGATATTTGATACAAAAATTTACAACTCATAACTAAACATACAACTCAAAATTATTTTAAAGCACATAAAAAATTTTAAAAATTTCAAAAAAAAAAATTTTCGATTATATAAAAAATAACATCAAAAAAAAAAAAAAATCACTATTCCGGTTAACCGGCCGGACGTCTCGTCTTTCAAAATTTTCAAAAAAACAAATGCTAAAATGCGCGGCTGAGACAGAGCTCTCTGCAGAGCGTTTGAAACGTGATTCCAAAACACTAAACAAACATCATACTCAAACTATGGTGTAGAATTACGTTTTGAAATCACAACCAAACACAGCCTAAATTTGTCAAAATAAAACATGAAACTTTTACCTGATCAATGAAACCATTCATCATGATTGCAGTATAAGCATAAAATATATTAAGATTAGCTGGAGGAAAGTTCAGATCAATTGTCTTACTGACCTCTCCATTAAAAGCACCGCTAAGGCTGTCTTCCAATAGAGCTCTTGTAAGATACATAAATATCTACTAAAGACTATTTATCATCTTTTTTTTTTTCAAAATTTGAGAAATAAATTTATTAGAATTTTTTTTATCATTATTAGAACAATATAAATCAACATGGCAATTGCAAAATAGAGATATCTTTCGAGACAATTTAATGCATTCCAAATTTTAAAAACTAAGTAATCCGGTTACGTTTAACTTGGTTTGGGATGAGGAGGAATTTATTGTACTGGAAGAAAAAATAGCGGCCTCGTTCGGGAATAAACTATTTTAATAACTTTTTTTACTTAAATATGAGGTAAAAAAAATTACTATGTTTGGAATGACTTTTTAACTTGTTACAATAGTATGTGCAAAAATTAGAAAGAATATTTGACTTTTTAATATAGTTTGTTGGTTTTTTAACTTTTTTAATGACTTCTTAACTTTTAAGCTAAAATTTGATGTTACCAAACGAGGACTGAATCAATTGTAAAGTTATTCACCAAGTATTGATTGAACTCTCTCACTCACTGGATGTAAGCATCATCTCAACAAAATCCAGGAAATTTCAGTAACCGTTGTAGTTACAAAAGTAAACAAAGAATGATTAGCTTATCAGTGTAAAAAGAGATTATTTTTCATTACATCACATCACATGATGGTAACCAGTCGATGACTGAGTAAGTTACCGTGGTATTTGTAATGAAGGGCTCATGATGCACATACCATAATTTGATGACATGGTCACTAATGATGGTAATTTCGTAATGGACCTATGCAAAACCATGTGAGGAGATTTTTGAACTAGGTCACTATCATGTTGATAAGGATAAGCCAAAACATACTGAGGTTGTAATTTATTTAGCCGTTTGAATTTTAACTATGTGCAACTAATGAGCCATTTCATGATCCAAGAACTTTTGTACATAATATTGCACCCTCAAAAGCTTAGAAAAAAGTTCCCTATGGCCCTTAACAGTCACACTCACGTGTAATTAATTTAAGCGTCGAAGATTCTTAAGACGACACCACACTAATATCCCCATCTTTGATAATTCTCTATTTGTCCACTTTTGCTGGTAATCTTCAAGAACTTGAGTTATTGAGATCAAAAAACCAATTTCCAACATCAACAATTGCCATGTTTAAGACTCAGAGAAAAACTATTGTCCAAATTTCTTATTAGGTTTGCTTTCATTTATCTAAAACTTCATGCTTAAAGCACTTTGCTCAAGAACTAATCATAGGAACATTGGAATTTATGAATATTGAAGTACGAAGGGGTTTTATGCTTATTGGGAGAATAGAAAATTATACTATTTCAAACTCAAAACATTTCTATTGCAAGAAAAAAAAACTTCTAGCATAAAATTTGTTTTAAAGCAAGTTCTAATTTTTTGAATTTTTTTGCTATATGTATAATTTTAGTTTTGATTTGGAAATCATTTTGGTAGTTTTTCTAACAAATTCTAGTGACTTATCAAAAAAGTTTTCAAATTGGAGTTAGGCAATTGGTTCTTTGCCCTGTTTTAGGTCTTCCTTGGAATGGAAAAAAAAACATAGAAAAAGAAAAAGGGGAAAGCATAAACAAGATTGAAGGAATATAAAATAACAATCTCAATTTGAAACCAATAATGAATTTTTTATTCCTTCATGAAAAGTTAGTACCAATTAGGCCTTGCAATTTTTTTTTAACAATTGCGATTCGTAGCTCGAAAGTGTGTGGCTCGAGAGTGGCTCAACACCAAAATGACGTCATTTGGGTTTTTTTTTTTTTTTTTTCTTCGTGTTTTTCTGAAGATGAAGAAGAAGAAGAAGAAGAAGAAGAAGGAGGAGCTGGGTCTACTATCTGCTGCTGGGTTTCATCAATATCAACATCTTCATCAACTATTTTTTTTTTTTCCCCTTCATCTTCAGATTTTGAAATCATTGCAACATCTTCATCATCTTCATCAACAAAAAAAAAAAAATTTCCTTTCATCCTCAAAGGGAGAAAAAAAAAAAAACCCACCGACAGACAGAGATCGCCATCACCGCCGATCTTCCTTCTCTTCCTCACCATCACCACCATCGCCTCTTCTCTTCTCTCCTCTCTCTCTCTCCCCTCGTCTCTTCCCTCGTCTCTTCCCTCTGTATTTGAACGCAAGAGAAAGAAAGAAAAGAAGGGGGAAAAAAAAAATACCCAAAACAATGTCATTTTAGGTATTCAGGCCAATTTCAAGCCAACCATTTCGAGCAACGGATCATTTTTCTTTTTCTAATTCAGAATAATTGCTGTCGCACTCAAATTTTCATTTGTAGTTGTTTGTGAAGGGGGGAAAAAATGATATCAACAACTGTTCACTCATTTTTCCTATGAAATTTCTTGCAACCAAGATTATTCTTTCATACCCTATTTTCATATTCAAGTCATACCTACTACCTAATATATGAAAATTTTGGTAAAAATAATAAGTGGATTTACCATACTTTTAAGTGGATATGACTTTCAAACGATATGTATAACTCTTTGATTTTACTCATGTGGACTTGACAGTTATGCAACAATTAATTGGGCCAATCCAGTCGTGAGTTTATAACATCTCCGAATTCTCCAATAATCAGGTATCAAAACTGATGACAAATGATTTATGGATGAACTCCCTTACATTCTCATTAGTGTGCAAAATGAATACCTACGCAAATTTGAATTGGACAACTTACAAACAGAATCAATTTCCTGATATTATACAAGTGGGGGAAAGGAAAAAGCAACATTTGAAATAATCAAAGGCTCGACGAAAAGGAAAGTTTCAGCTCAAAGAACTATTTACCAGACAATCCAATGCTCAAAACTTGTGATTTAAAACACTGGTCTGTGGTCAAAATTTGTTTTTCCATCATGATCATCATCTTCACCATCACCATCAGTGTCATACAATAAAGCATCATCATCATCATCGTCACCACTAATGCCTAATCCATCATCATTATGTGAAATTGAGTTAGGAGTATTGTATGAGTTCCAATCAGGAGGGAAGGTCTTCTGCAGTGATTCTGTGATCTCTCCACCTGCCCTCTCAATCTTGCTTAGGCACTTGGACCAGTGAACTGCAGTACCCATATCAACAGTCAATCCAGATTGCACCATCTCACCACACACAGACAGAATTCCTGAGTAAATGTACTCTTCGGCCATAGTAGCCCTTGACAACAACGATGTCATCAAGCAATGGTATACAGCTTTGTCCGGCTTCAACCCCACCATCTTCATGTCTTCGAAGCATCTTAAAGCTTTCTCTGGGAGAGATGCACGTGCCCACCCATGTATGAGCGTGGTATAGGTTTTGACATTTGGCTTCACTCCGACAGCTTGCATTTCTTCAATCGTGTTTGTAGCTCTCTGCTAACAAAATCGAATCTTAGCCAACTGGATGAGTATGAAATGATCCCATTACTTGAATTATAGACAAAATGTAAGACTGAGCATTCTAGATTAAAATGTAGCCAGCAACAAAAGACCAAGCTAATAATTGAAAATAACCCGACATGGAAATTTTCCAAGAACATAGAACATAACATAAGGGGACACGTGCAAAATATATAATTTTATATATTTATTAATAAATAATAATTATATGTCATATATATGAATATTTTTGAAGTCTAAATGGGGATAATATGTATAAATTTACAATGTTTTTGTTTTATCATGGGATTCTAATTTATTTTATTCAAACTTGTAATGTGTTTTATACGTTTCCAGGTGTTGAAAAGTGTCCAACAAGCTAAGGAGCATGGACACTTCTAAGAAGATGACGGATTCGTGTCGTGTCGTTTGTGTCAGACACTGACACTCATTAGACACTTCCTGACACATGTCCTATTTTTTAAAAAAATTTTTAGATCTGGACACTTTCTTTTTAGACACACGTGTCCTTTGCTTAAACATAATGTAAATGAGTGCTATATTACATTTTTTTTATTATCTTCGAATGATATATTCATATATATGACATATAATAAATATATAAAATCACATATTTCGTGTGGGTACCCACGTTTCGTGTCCTACATTTTTTGTGTCATGTCCGTGCTTCTTAGCCGACGAGTGTCGTGTCGATGTCCGACACGGTGATGGACATGACACGACACAACACGACACGTTACCTTCTTAGAAGTGTCTATGCTTCATGGGAGATAATACTATGAGGTTCTGTTAAAGCGAGAACATGAAAATATGACTAATTCTTCCATTCTCTGCCATTTTTTATTCCTGTAGCATTATGAGCCACAAATCCAACTTTTAAAAGCAGTATGACAAAAATATAGTCATAAAAAGAGGAGTCATTGTCATCACATCATGAGAATATGACGCAATTAGAAAAACAAAACAAGGAACAAGTACGAATGCACAATGCATTCAATATAAATATGGTTAGAGAATTTTACTATTTCCAGATGTCATGTTAAATATAACAGAATGATTTAATTTCGAACACCCACTGAAACCCTACATGAACTTAGTTTGAATACACATTGAACGAAAATTTATAAGGGCAAACGTGTGGAACCCAAGGCACGATAATTTCTCACATCTAGGTAACATACTATGCCAATAATAAAACTAAAAGGGAAAAACTAGGCTAATAGCGGAAGGCATACCAGCATATCTCCAGCTTTGCAACAAGCATTTATGAAAGACGTGTAAGTATGGATGTCTGGCTGAACCCCTTCGCGTTTCATTTGTTGCATCAAGTCAGCAGCCTCCCAAACATCACCTCTCCGAGCCCACCTACATCAAGGGGAAAAAATAACTATGAAATTAAGAGGTAAAAAATTTACAGCATTAGGCACCAGAAGCAGAAAAAGGGCCTATTTGGTATAGCTTCTAGCAAGCGAAAAGTTGATAATTAGAAAACAGAAGTTAAAAGCACATCTCCCAGAGCTCACAAATAATCACTTTTTATTAGCGTATTTAAGTTATTTATGCCTTATAAATGGTAAGTAGAAATTGTACCAAACACATTGGTACAGATTCCAGGGAAAAAAACGAAACAAAACAACTATAAGCAGCTCCATAAGCTACACCAAACAGCCCCACATACAGCTACAAAAAGAGAGGAAACTTAATTATGAAAATCAAAATACAGAAACAAATATCCAGTCAAATAATCCATGCCATGTAGATATGTCATCCATACCCATCAATTAATATGTTGTAGACAAAGGTGTTTCTTGGAATCTTTTGAGAACTCATTTCTTTTGTCACTGCTAAAGCACTTTGCATCCTGCCAGACTTACAACATGCCTTCAGCAATGCCTCGTAAACATACACATCAAGCTCCAGCCCTTCATTTTTCACTTTACTAAAATATTCAAAAGCTTTTCCAGTATCACCAAGCGATGCATAACCATGCATGATGGTCGTATATGTATGCTCATCTGGAGAAATGCCTGCCAGGGACATCTCGTCTAATATTTCAACAGCCTTTTCCATCTGCAATAAATATGAGATAAATGAATTAGCTCTTCCATAGAAAATGGATAATTGAGATCTATAGTCACTAGTCCAGATACTTCCACACGATCCAATATATATATATATATCTAACATAACATACCTGACGCTTTTCAACTAGGCCTAGAACCAGAGCGTTGAATGTGTGCACAGTTGGAATGCATCCACTTCTCCTCATCATATCAAAAACCTCTAGGGCTCTTCTCATCTCACCAGCTCTTGCAAAACCATGTATAATAGGCATAAATGTTCGTGAGGTAGGTCTTTGCCTCTCTTTTAGCATTTCATCCACAGTACGAAGGGCACGATCCATGTTACCCATGCCACAGAATGCTCTGATGATGTTATTGAAGAGCACAACATCTGGCTTTAAGCCACCTCTCACTATGTCTTCAAATATCGCAAATGAGTTTGCCCAATCTTTTAGTTTTATAAATCCATTGATCAACATGGAGTAGGTCTTCATGTTATGTTTTATACCCGCCAACTTCATCATATCGCTGACCTCCAAGGCTTTGGAAACTTTTCCCATCTGAAAAGGAAAAACAAATAGATTGACAAATCAATATTAAATCATCAAATGATAAGACATTGAATACATCAAGATAATAAGCTAATTCATGGACATGTAGTAACTATACAGTCTCTACTTACTTTCTGCATTCACTTATGAGATAAAGACACCGTTAACATTTGCCTACAGTTTGCCACGCAACCCAACACAACAAGACGGAACTTCATTTGTTAGGTGTTTCTTGTGAGTGACAATTAAATAACAAGCAAATGTCTTCATGTAGGCAATTTCAGTTGATTGTTCTGGCCTCTTACCCAGCAATGTTTTAACAACCTGGCCTAAAACCTGGCCAGACCGGCCGATTCAACTAGTTAACCCATCAACTGGTCCTCTTTCCAGTTCAGACAAACCCCTAAAACCATTTACTAGGAAAATTGGCATTTTTTGATAAAACCATTCAAAACAGTGGTTAAACCACCCAATTGGTCAAACCGGAGGCTGTTCCCCCTAACTAGCTGGTATTATATCTACCACTCACGTGATCATTAATTAAAAATTTTAACTGTCTTGGATGGCCCATGTAATCCAATTATCCAATTACAACATGACAAGCATTGTGTACATACTGTCTCCTCCTTTTCCAAATGTGGGAATTGAGACCCCTCAAATCCATTGCTTTTGATGGAAATCTTAGACCAAGTCCTTTACAATTTTGTTTGCTTTTTTTTTTCACATGAAAAAGAAAAAGAATTCCTCTCAACTTGAACAACTGAGACAGTCTGCTAGACCTTCAAATGTAATATGTGCAACAGCTATAATCACTTTTTTCAAGGAATTAGTATAGAAAATTTTCTAAATTTTGTTTATCAAAAATATATTTATAGATATATAAACTAAATTTATATATTGATACACTAATAGACTTTTACACATTCATATACTAAGAAAAATTAAGTTTTTAGGTAATTTTAACACCATTTTTTTTAATTTAAATATAATTTTTAATATATTTATAAGGTAACGTTATGGTTTGATTCTAGTTAACCACACCAATTTTTTTTAATTTAAATATAATTTTTAATATATTTATAAGGTAACGTTATGGTTTGATTCTAGTTAACCCAATGGTTCAACCAGTGACCCTTGACCCAAGCCCTTTTTCGGTTTGATCAACGGTACGTAGAGGATGCAGCATGTTTGTTTAGGATACGGACAGGGACAGCAGCATTACAATGAAGGGGGCTCTTGTCCTGTACAATAAGAGGGAAATGGAAATCTTTGCATAATGCTAGTCCAATGGGTGAAAACAGGCACAAAAATGTCACATGTAGTCATAAAATATGTTCCATGCCATGTGATACAGCCCAGTCGATGTGTGGCCCACAGAAACATGTTTCGTGTGATACAGCCCAGGACCCACATAAACATGTTTCATGTGATACACCCAGTCGATGTGGGACGCACAGGAACATGTTTCATGTGATACAATCCAGTTGATGTGGAACCCACAGGAAGATGATAAGTTGATTATCAATATTAAGTGATTATTCTTGTTAGGGTCTTTGAAATAATCATATTGTATTTCCATTTTATTAGGATTTTTAGTATTTATCCCAAAAAAAAAACATTATTAGGATTTTTAGATGCTTATGTGATAGAATTTTTATTGCATTAACTGTGTCAGATTGGTATTTTAGGTACAATTTGATTTAGAGGATATCTATATTTTCAGGGTTTACTTCAGCTGATAAACAGGCCATATTGATGTAAAACGAATTTAGTCTCCTAGATATAAATAGGCTATATTGCCGTAGGATGAAACTAAGCCTCCCCCTTCTTTACTAGTCCCATTCTCATCCTCCTACGTAAATGTTCTATCTCTTATATCTACTCCCTGGGTCTTGCTAACAAGTGCCCCTAGGGCACAAGTAAAAGACAAAAAAATTGAAGAACACAAGAAACTTTTAACTAAATTCAATGCATTTTTACTGAAATCAATATAGTTTTTAATGGTTTATATATTTTCAAGACATTTTATACACACTTCCGACCATTAAACAATGCATAAGGGGCACTTGTTAGCATTTGCCATTCCCCTTACCCTATCAGTCTATCTCTAAGGCCCCGTTTGTTTTGGGAGATAGAATGGAAGAGATTGATAGTGAGGGGATTAATAGTGAGGAATTGTTAAATTATTTTATATAAAATAACAAACAAATAAAAAAATAAACATTATATTTATAAAAAAATTCCCAATATATAAAAAATAAAATAAAATAAAAAAATTTCTAATCCCCTCATTATTTTTCTAATATCATCTCTACCTCCTCTTTACCAATCCCCCTTCCTCCTCCTTACTAATACCAAGGGATTACTAGTCCCCTCCCTATCTCTCAAAACAAACACCCCATTCTCAATTCCCTCCTCACTATCAAACCCAATCCCCTCTCCATAACCCCAAACAAACGGGGCCTAAATGTGCAAGGCCAACTTTTGTAGCATAACCTACAACTTCTAAGATACTCAATAAACATTTTCTGTGAGAGACATAACAACAATGATTCCTGAGCTAGGGGTGTGCTCCCCCTTCCTCCTCCTTATTAATACCAATGGATTACTAGTCCCCTCCCTATCTCTCAAAACAAACATCCCATTCTAAATCCCCTCCTCACTATCAAACCCAATCCCCTCTCCATAACCCCAAACAAACGGGGCCTAAATGTGCAAGGCCAACTTTTGTAGCATAACCTACAACTTCTAAGATACTCAATAAACATTTTCTGTGAGAGACATAACGACAATGATTCCTGAGCTAGGGGTGTGCCAAGGGCCCCTTGATTTTTGAAAAGCATGTTTATAGTATTATGCATAAGACTTATTTTCATACATTATAATCAATAGCATTTCCCCTTGGGTCCCCCTTGATTTTGAAAAAAAATTAATATTGTATACAAAGATAATGTTTTGAAAAATGTTTTATATGGTGTAGTGCAATGACTTTACAACTAACTTAATATAATGACTCTTCTATATTATAACTAACAAAATTTCATTATTCATACTTTGATGTATATAGTTTCTAAGTAAAACTTTAACCTAAAAACATATTACCATGAATGTACACTCGACATAAATTCATCAAATAACTTCTTTTATCGTTTTTTCCTACCATATTCATAATTTAATATTTATATATATACATAATACACTAATGTTTATATTTACTAGCTATGCTTATGTGTGAAGCTTTTCTATTAAATTGTTCTTGGCCCCCCCTTAAAATAAAATCTTCGCTTCGCCTCTGCTCATCATCTACCAGTCCAACTACACACCAATTCTTAATAAATAGGAGGAATCAGCAAATTCTCTACAGACTGAAGCAAAGTTGTTATGTGAGTCCTCTAGTACTATAAAACACACCAGCATATACTTAGAACTATGAGTTTTACATAAGCAACAAATGAGTGACCATGAATCCCCATGATCACATACTGATGAAAAAATTTAATACAACTACAATTGGCCAGAAGTGATTTACGAACAAACATGTCTTAGCTAGGAAAAGAAGCTTCACAAGCAAAGAGACTGACATTTGAATAAAGAGAGGCGGGAGACACATTGATCACCATCTCAAGCTTGGAATTGAAGGAATAAATAAATTATTCCTTAAATATTAAATTGAAGAAATCCTTAAAAGGAAGCTTTTAAGATGCTGAAAAAGGGGGTGGAAGGTAGCGAGCAAGAAAAGGAAACACTCCAACTAGGGCTGTGTAGTACTAGAAAAAGTAAGAAAGATTCATTACAACTCTACAATTTTTCTCACCAGTGCAAATAAATTTAACAAAAAAAACAACACTCAACAATAGTTTGGGGGATCAATAACAACAGTGAAGCATGTGACAGATAATAAGGGGCAAATTGACATAGATTAACAATCTTAAAAACCCAACATCAAGCCTGAAACCTGAATGACACCTTTAGTACTGTTAAGTGTTAGAGGTAATTTGGTCTTTGTGTCTTATTCTTATTAGTATAAATAATTGTATGTTAAGGGGGAAACCCTACGTTTTGAATAATATATAGCAGTTGGTTCTCTTTCTCTCTCTCTCAGTTCTGCAACTTCTTTTTCTCCTTCTCCTTTCCTTCTCATCTATCCATTCAACATGGTATCAGAGCAATATCTTCCTCCTTGAAGATTGTTCCTCTCCTTCCCTCGTTCTTGTATCTCGTACGTTTCAAAAAAAAAAAAAAAATTACAGTATGCTTGAAAATTGATGGACATTCATCCTATAATCTCCTTTTAATTTTTTGGTTATTATTGATTGTGTTTTCCAATTTTTTTGATTTTTCATCAAAAATGGGTGATTTTTTGAAAGTCACCGGTCACACCCTTTTTGCTTGATTTTTTCCCTCTCCCTCACATCCTAGGGAGCCGACTGGGCCTATAGAGGGCTGCGCTGTCCTTATTTTGCTGTATTTTGGCTCTCCCTTGGTTTTTTCTTGAGTTTTGGATGATTTGCTTCAATGTTTGGGCTCCTATGTGATCATGTTACGTTATTCTGGGATTATTTTGCATTGTTTCAACCTTAGAAGGTGCTTTGTTATGCTGGTTAGGTTTTGTCAGGACTTGTTTGATATACTGTTTGTGTTCCTGCCCCATCTTTCTCTTATCTCGTAACTGAACACGAGGGTCAGTACTCTAAGGGCAAGGAGGACAGTGGACTGAGTCGTGGTATGACTCTAGGTGACAGTCCTTCTCTCCAGATTAGTCCGGTCAAGCTTAATGGCACCAATTACTTGATTTGGTCCCGCTCCTGCAATCTTGCCATTGCCGCCCAACGTTTGCCCAGCTATATTACTAGTAGTACTAAGCAACCTACTGAGGACAATGCTTTATCTGCTCAATGGATTTCAGAGAATGCTTTAGTGATGACTTGGCTAATCAATTCTATGGAACCTACCATTAGTAGGACTTTTCTCTTAATGGATACCGCTCACAAGATCTGGCTAGCGACATCTCAGATGTATTCTCAACAAGGTAATGATGCACAGGCTTATGAATTGCGAAAGAAGATTAGGGGCTTAGATCAGAAGGATTGCTCTCTGGCAGTCTACCATGCTGAGTTGAGTGGTTTATGGAAGGAGCTAGATTACTACCAAAGTTTCCAACCCATTTGCTCCACGGATGCCACTATGTTTCAACAGGCTGTGGAGAAGGATTGGGTGTATGATTTTCTTACTGGCCTGAATTTGGAGTATGATCAGATCCAAGTTGAGTCGCTCTCCGTTTCCCACATTGTGTGAAGCTTATGCCCTGGTTCAATAGGAGGAGAGTTGTCGTAGTGCTATGGGGCATCCCTATTCCAGATCGATCAGCGATGGTTGTCAGCCCCAAGTCCCGTGATACTCCGCCTTGTCCGCCTCAGGGTGGTGGTTAGGGTCCATTGGTTGATCGGGACCAGTTGAAGTATGATTATTGTGAGAAAGATAGACATAATAAAGAACACTGTTGGAAGTTGCATGGTCGGCCTACTCGAGGCTGTGGTGGTGGTGGTAATGTTCATCCTCAAGCCTATGTGTCTGAGACTGCTGCTAGTGCCTCGGATGATACTGGTTCTATTTCCCAGGATGAGCTTCACACTCTCAGACGTTTGATGGCTCGACTTGATTCTTCCTCTACCTTAGCTCCTTACTCTTCTGCCTCTTCCAACTTTGTCCACACAGGTATTTCTGCTAGTGCACTTAGTGCCTCTTCGTCGTCTCCTTGGATAATTGATTCCGGTGCTACCGATCACATGCCGAGTACTTTTAATTTTTTCCATTCTTATTCACCTAGTTCTGGGCGAGATAAGGTTTCTATTCATTGCACCTCTTTACTTTCGTTTTCCTCTATTCTTCATATTCCTAATTTTTCCACTAACTTACTTTCTGTTAGTAGCCTTACTACCGCTCTCAATTGCTCTGTAACCTTTTTTCCGACTCATTGTGTCTTTTAGGAACTGGCTACGGGGAAAATAATTGGCAGTGATAGCGCACACAGTGGACTGTACTTTCTGGATGTCACTTCTGCATCAACTTTGTCCTCCCAGGCTCTTCAATGCACTTCTGGCTCCTCCCTTCGCCTTCTCCATCAATGGCATCGCTATTTGGGACATCCTTCCTTTAGTATTTTAGAGAAACTTTTTCCTTCTTTAGTTCGAGATTGTCCTAGGAATAACTTTGTTTGCGATGCTTGTGAGCTTGCTAAGCATAAACGTACTTGTTATCCTTCCATTAATAAAAGAAGTACTTTTCCCTTTATGCCTATTCATACCAATGTGTGGGGTCCTTATCATGTGGTTTCTACCTCTGGTTATCGGTGGTTTGTCACGTTTATTGATTATTATTCCCGTGTGACTTGGATTTATTTACTTCGCACTAAAAATGAGATTTTTTTGTACTTCAAAAATTTTTATAAAATGGTTTCCAATCTCTTCAATGCTACTATCAAAATTCTTAGGAGAGATAATGGGACTGAATATGTTGATAGAGCTTTCAGGGCATACCTCGAGGAGCATGGCATTCTTTATCAGACTAGTTGTGTTGGCACACTCCTAAACAAAATGGAGTTGTTGAACGCAAGAATGGCCATCTTCTTGAGGTTGCTTGCTCTCTCTTATTTACCATGAACGTTACTAAGTCTTTTTGGGGAGATGTTGTTCTTACCGCGGCTAACCTTATTAACCGTATGCCCTCTAGTGTCCTCCACTTCCAAATTCCTCTTGAGCTCCTTCTTGTCACTTATCCCACTTCTTCCCTTCCGCCTCAGGTTTTTGATAGTGTTTGTTTTGTTCATCTTCAGCCTCGTACTCATGGAAAGCTTGATCCTAAGGCTATCCGGTGAGTCTTTCTTAGTTATTCTGCTACTCATAAGGGTTACAAATGCTACGACCCTCAAACTCATAAGCTATATGTTAGTATGGATGTCACATTCCATGAATCTGAATCCTTTTTTCCTTGTCACCCGCTATCTCCTCAGGGGGAGAGTGGTATAGATGAGATTGCGGATGAGACGGAGACAGAGACAGCATCCTATCAGCATAAGTTGTCTTTTTTCCTTCCTAACCAGCGGACTGTTATTTGTGGTGAAGGGGAGCCTACGAGTTTTGTTGATGAGACTGATGTTGGTGGTCGTTTGGACAGAGTTGATCTTAAAACTTATTCACGGCGTCAGAAAGAGCAAGCATCTCTTGTGCCACCGAGTCAATCATCATCTCCTATGTCAGTTCCACACCCAGGTTTCACTGATTCTACAGGTACTTATCCTCAACCCATTTCTTCACCTGTTGTTGATAGTCCTGTTGCTGATGATCTGAGTCTTCCTATTGCTCTCAGAAAGCGGGTTAGAGCCTATACTCAACACTCCATTTCTAAATTCGTGTCATATAATTCGTTGTCTTCTCCATATCGTGCTTTTGTTTCGTCTCTTTCTTCTGTGTGTATTCCGTAGGATTGGAAAGAGGCCATCAATGATCCTAAGTGGAAGGTAGCTATGGTAAAAGAGATGCAAGCTTTGACTAAAAATAACACATGGGACTTGGTGTCTTTACCTAATGGAAAAAAACCGGTCAGATGTAAGTGGGTGTTCACTATCAAGCACAATGCAGATGGGATGATTGAACGGTACAAAGTAAGACTAGTGGCCAAGGGATTTACCCAGACATATAAAATAGACTATCAATAAACTTTTACCCCGGTAGCAAAGATGAATTCCATTCGAGCTATTCTGTCGTGTGCTGCTAATTTGGGATGGCCTCTACAACAACTAGATATGAAGAATACTTTTCTTCATGGGGATTTGGAGGAGGAGGTATATATGGATGTACCTCCAGGATTCTCATCACAGTCTACAGTTGGAAAGGTTTGTAGATTGAAGAAGGCTTTATACGGTTTAAAATAATCTCCTAGAGCCTGGTTTGGTAGATTTCTAAAGACAATGCTGGGATTTGGGTATCAACAAAGCAATGTCGATCACACCTTGTTTGTCAAACACAATGTATATAAGGTAACAATGCTTATTGTATATGTGGATGATATAGTTGTGATAGGTAATGATAAGGAGGAGGTGACCCATCTCAAGATGCTGTTAGCCAAGGGGTTCGAAATAAAAGACCTTGGTCCATTGAGATATTTCCTTGGATTTAAAGTTGCTAGATCTAATAAAGGTATCTTCATTTCTCAAAGGAAGTACATTCTAGATCTTCTTGTAGAAACGGGCATGTTAGGCTATAGACCAGCTGAGTCACCAATTGAGACTAATCATCTTCTTTGTAGTAGGGTTTGTGAGCTTGTGGAAAAGAAAAGGTACCAAAGACTTGTGGAAAGACTGATATATCTATCTCATACTCATCCAGATATTACCTATGCAATTGGGATAGTGAGTCAGTTTATGCATGATCCTCGTGCAACTCATTGGATGCAATCTATCGCATTTTGAGGTATCTTAAATCTGCTCCTGGAAAAGGAATTTTGTTCTCTAATCATGGTCACTTGAGGTTAGAAACGTTCACAGATGCAGATTAGGCAGGCTCTATAGATAACAGGCGCTCTACCTTTGGTTACTGTGCTTTTGTAGGGGGAAATCTAGTCACATGGCGTAGTAAGAAGCAAGCGGTAGTATCCAGATCTAGTGCTGAAGCTGAATACAGGGCTATGGCACATGGGACATGTGAACTAATGTGGTTTCAATCTTTGTTGAGTGATATAGGGCTTCATTGCAGTGATCCCATGACTTTGTATTGCGACAACAAGGCTACTACTAGTATTGCACACAATCCTGTTCAATGTGGCCGGACTAAGCATGTTGAGATTGACAGACATTTCATTAAGAAGAAGTTGAATAAAGGTGTAATATATATACCTTTTGTTAAGTCTGAAGATCAACTGGCGGATGTTTTTACTAAGGGTCTTAATAGTAAAGCCTTTCACCCTATTTATTGCAAGTTGGGTATGCGAGACATCTTTGCACCAACTTGAGGGGGAGTGTTAAGTGTTAGGGGTAATTTGGTCTTTGTGTCTTATTCTTATTAGTATAAATAGTTGTATGTTAAGGGGGAAACCCTGCGTTTTGAATAATATACAGCAGCTGGTTCTCTTTCTCTCTCTCTCAGTTCTGCAACTTCTTCTCCTGCTCCTTTCCTTCTCATCTATCCATTCAACAAGTACCACTCCCAGCCTAAAGCATCAAAGTAGCCCAGCCAACTAAGAATTAAGCCAAATCATCCCACTTAGGGGATAGGCACACAGGAAATAAAGGGAATTAATGAGAATCACACTTACCTTGGTGTAAAGATTAATAAGACATCCATAACTGATTACTGAAGGAGAAAACCCACATTCCTACAACAACAATCAAATGTCAGTACCTGACCAAACTGAAACCAAATAACTGATGATATCAAATTTCCAAGCAAACCTCTTCACATAAAATATACACACATGTAACAGTACCATGTAAAGAGCATCGTATGGGGCACAAACCCGTAGTACAGGAAAGATATATAGGGTGAGAGAAAGAAACGGAATAACAGAGAAGATAAAAGAAGGTTTTTTTATCTAAGCAAAAAGAAAAGGAAGCCAGGGCCCTCCCTGCCAACCAAAAGACAAGGAGCTAAGCAAAGACTGCTTCCGCTTGTAAACCAGCATGTCCCTCAAAAGTATGACACTCCCTCAAAACAAAGGTGAAGGCTTCCATACCCAAGAATACCACCCCAACAACTCTCCTCAACTTCAGCCACCAACAACAGTATATCTATTGGACTCCAAAAGGCAACAAGAAGATGACATAACCCAGGAGCAACAGAGCAATTCAACAATAGATGATTATCCGTCCTATCTGCCTCCTCTGAATTTCACACATGCATCACCAATTTTTTAGAACCCTCTCCTAACCAGATTGTTCATGGTCAAGATCTCTTCCAACACTACCATCTAAGTGAAGAGGGCCAACTTAGTGGGGGTCTTTGCTGCATCGAATACTACTCCATGGATCAGAATCACCGGACTCACCCTCTTCACCAGCTAAGTGAAGGGATCAAGGCAGATCTCTGCAAAAATCCTAGACACAACTCAAGGTACTGAAATCCATAAACTTGAACGTGAAATGCACATCTAACACCTGCAGGCTAACCTTGGGCCTGAAACATATACATGTACAATTTCACTACATGATTCATGCATAAATCTTCAATTATCTTAAAATTTTCTATTTCACTTCAACTTAATAAAGGCATTAAAAAAAATTCTTCAAGAGTGACACTTCCAAAGTTCCAAACTGCAATCAAGCCATTAAAGTTTTGACATATGACTGGTAGAATCTTCTGAAATATATATACATGATCATTAAACACCGCTTGGAATGTAAAAACATAATAAGACGGAAAAGGTTATGAACAACCTCAGAAACTCAGACAACACAGGTTATTATTATTACCTTAAGTCTGCTAAACACAACTCGACATTTATCTTCATCCCCAATCATTGTGTAACCATCCATCATGGTGTGATAGATGTCAATAGGAGCATCAATACCTTCTTCTTCCATCTCCCTCACCAAAGCTTCAGCGCAACCCATGTTATAGGTTTGGCTGTTTATTATAGTAAAAGAAAAGGAAACAATATAAAATTAGGAACAAGGAAACCTGTTCCATGCATTGGTATTATACTACACACACACACATACAAAAGAGAGAGAGAGAGAGAGGAAGCTGCCAAAACGAATTGTGCTAAGAACTATGTTACCAGAAAATGCTAATACCCTAGCAAATTATGTATTGGTACGCATGTTCCGAAACATGGTACATTTATGTTCCAAAACAGTAAATTTAGTAATCCAAAGCAATCCCAATAGTTTTTTTTTCCAATATATTTCCTTACATGTTACCTTAGGAGGAAAAAATCAAATATAATGAACTAAAATATAAGGTGACTTTAGTTTTGACATGACAAAAACATCAAAAATGGAAAGAAAAAATGTATATATATTTTATTGGAGGCCTAATAGTTAAAATAAAATTTTTTTTTAAAAAAAAATTTACTCTAGAAGTACCTCCAATTTTTAAGTGTAATATATACAAATCTATCCCTATCGTACCACATTTTAGAGCAAGTGGTGTACAACATTACTAGAACGATCCACGTTCCAAGTAACATAGGCTAATAATAAAAAATGAAAGAACAAAGTATACAATTTCATGTCATTGACTATAACAGCTATCCATTTACTACGTATGAAACCAAGAATTTCCTTGTGAAAGTACCAGAAATACAGTATTAAATCAAAGTGAAGGCATCCAACATCCAGGCAATGTCTAGGGCCTTGGACCTCCCCCCTAAGTAGGCAAAGACCTGGGTGGCACCTAACCAATGCTTTAGTGAACTTAATAAACAAAATATGTTTTCATGCCATTACTTACATGATTATGCAGCTGTAGAGGTCCAATATTAGGCTTGCGCACAGCAACTTTCAATCACATGGAGGCTTAATTTACAATTTTATTAATCAATGTCCTTCAGTGTTTAATATTTAGTTTCTTATTATTATTAGTTCTCTTATTTTATTAGGGTTGCTAGACCATAAATAAGAAGCTTTGGCATTTTATTAGGAAGGCTTCATTTCCCAAGTGAATGGCTAATATATAACACAAGCAAAAAAAAAAGCACAGTACTTGTATATATATAAAGTTGATTTGCTAGACAAGGTAAAGTTTGGGCTAAGAATCGCTATGCTGACTATGGTTACATCAGAGGTCTCCAGGCATCATCTGATATTTCTAAAATTCAGCATAGGAGCATTTCTATCAGATTATTAGCTCACATCAGTTTCAACAATTCTTTGCCCAAAAACAGATACCATAGATAGAATACTACGAATTTTTCAAAACAAATTTCAATATGATAGTACCTGACCCATCTTTGAGGTCACTAGCTACAGAAATTAGGAACATGATCTACAAACTTTTCATCTATACATATGGCAGAGCAAAAAAAAATAGCTCGAAATCTGTCAAATGAAAAACATACCAATGGGCATATATTATATTTCCATATATGATCGCATTCAATGTTGAATGTTTCTCTTTTGCCTCCTTAAACCATTGATCTGCAGCACTGTCAGAACAACAAAAATAAGTATCAGATCTCAAATATACATGATAGTCCATCCAGCCATTTGTACAACATGACAAATATCCTTAAATGTCTCAAAAAGACTCCTTACTAGAGAGACAGTATTTAGGGCTCAGTCAGAGACGCCAAACTTCAAGGTTTCAAGTCCTATGCCAAACAAAAAGCTTGTTCAAAAAGTAGCAAGTGTCCGTCAGTTATGAATCCTTCAAGAGCTTTAAATTCTGATCAAATTTGTCATACTTTATTTGCAGTTTTTTAGGTTCTAAAGCAAGAAAACAACCTCTAGTCCCATTACAGAGCAACCCATCAGGAATTATTCATGCTAAGGTAGCAAGTCATTGCAACATGGTAATGTTTCACTACTATTTAAAGTGAGTCAAGTTCCATAAAATTCCAAAACTTGATAAACTTAATTCCAGTATAAGAATAAAAATTTTCCCTAAATCAACTACCAAAAATTACAAACCAAAATTTCAATAGTGGTGTTAGTACTAAGGAAACACTGAAAATAAGTAAAAGGGCTGAAAAGCATATCAAACTAAAAGCTTACTTACTCAGGTTATAAAAATGGAACTTAATTCCAGTATAAGGAAAAAATTTCTAAATCAATTACAGAAAACTACAATCAAAATTTCTAAAGCAGAGACAGACACTAAGAAAACATAGGTGGCACAAATAAGGGGGATGAAAACATGTCACTAAAAAAATTTAAGGAAAAAGAACAAAGTCACAATTAGAAAATAGAAGGTCACATTATAATGTTAAAGCAAGAACCATATTCTCCTTGAAGGAATTAATTTTAAAATTTATATTAAAAAAAAAAAACTTATTGCCTAATATATATATATATATATATCATTACTTACTCAACATTGCCAACTTTAGCAAATCCCCCAACAAGAATACTGTAAGTCACTAAACTCATTTCGATGCCCTCATCTTTCATTTTCCTCACACAAGCTAATGCTTCTTCCATGTCTCTACCCACTGCATAAGCGTGAATTAGACTGCATAAAATGAATTACAGTTAATGCTGGAACTTAAAATTTCAATATTTAACACTACAAGTTGATGAAAATATAAACTCAAGGTCATGAGACTCACATACCCATGAGCTGAAATAAAGAATTTACCAAAACATTGCCAAACAGTAGCTAAGAACAAGAAGGAAAATTAATATATAAGGAAAGAATACATGTAAAAATTTCAAGTTGAAGAAATTCTCCTGTATTCTATCAGCAAAAGAGTTTGGCTCACCCAAGTAAATTTGACGGGATTAGTAACTCAAGCACAATATGCAGTCAAAACTAATTGCCCAAATAATGTCTATTGATAACCAACTAGAACAAGCAACCACAAGCTCAAAGTTCAATGTAGAATACCGAACAGTAAAAGTAAATTACAGGTCCAAAGTGAATGAATACTATTAGAGGGTTTTACTTTGTATAGACATGTGAGGTTGGCTCTATTCCCCTGGCCCGCATGATCTCAAAAGTCCCACGTGCATGATGCATGTCTCCCCTCCTAGCATAGTAGTTCACCATCAAACCAAACTCTTTTCTGGAAGGCTAAAAGAATAAAGATTAAGAAAACAAAAATAAATAATTCATATTACATTAACTTAAGTCAAGAAATGATACAGATTTTTCTGCATAATCCACAACATTGAATCTTGACTAATAGCTATTGCTTAGACTACGTGAAATACATTACAAGTATTAATAAAATAACATAGAATCCAATGATATAATAAAAACAATGAAAACTTATACATTTTCTCTTCCTTTAGACTTTAAACATTATTATCTTCGAATTAAATATTTATATATATATGACATATAAAAATTGTTTATCCTTGTACATGCTGTCATATAACAATATAGAGATATAATGTTATGAGAAAGACTAGTTGTGTGTTTCGGATTTGAAGGGTAGTTTTATACATATCTTATTGTTATTTTATAGGGTATCCTTTTGGGTAATTGATTCAAACTGGCAACCCCATCTGCCACATTCATGCACTGTGGTGTTTCCCAGAGTTGTATGTGACCATTAAAACTTGCATGAAGGGATGCACACACCGCTTTAGGACAGTCACTAGCCATGCCTCTTGTGATCTCACAGGCTACAGTCTTTCCCTCTAGTTTAATTAGCATTATTATTTTGTTCACATATTTCTTGATCCCAGCACTTCAATTGTTCAATGATTTTTGAGATAGTTTGTTGATAATTTTAACAAGTATTGTTCACTGATCTCCACTACCAAACCCTCGAATTAGAATTGAAAGTAATGCAACATGAACCAAAAAGATTGACAAGAAACAGTACCTTTTTAATCCTCTCAAAAGCTCGAACAACAGCCTGCCAATTCTCCGGCTGAGTCTCCAAAACTTTCCGAAACTCCCTCCGCGAGCCTTCCCTCTCTTCATGCCACTTGGACTTGTACTCCACTCCATCTTCCCCTTCCACCCACCTTGCCCTCTCCGCCGACCTTTCCTTCATTCTCCTCCCATCATCCAGCTTCACAGTCAAAACCCTCCCATGAAACTCCACACCATCAAACTCCACAGCCTTCATTGCCAACTTGTCCGCCATTGGACCACCATAAATCACAAACCCAAACCCCATATTCCTCTCAGTCTCATTGTAACCCTTTATCAATATCACGTCCTTTATAGGCCCAAACTGCCTAAAGAACTCAGCCAATTCATGCTTCTTAATCCACAGTGGAAGATTCCCCACAAAGATTTTCCCTTCTTGGCGGAATTCAATTCTTGGGGGTTCTTCGGCACCCGAATTCTCCCTAATTTCATCTTCTTTGGAAAGTGTTCGACGTGGCGGTGGTGGCAGTGGTGGTGGCGGTGGAGGAGGAGGCGGAGAGAGTTTGCTGCTTAACCAGAGCTTGTTGGTGAGGCTTTGACGACTGGAATTGGGAATTCTGGTGGGATTTACGAGGGTTTTGAGAGGGTTTGTGGGGGTTTTAGGGTTTGGAGTGGAGGGTTTGAGAGGGTGGTTGTGGGTTTTGGGGCGGCGGAGATTGCCGGAGGAGGAGGAGGTGGTGGGGTTTTGGGAATCGGGGTTGGGAGATTTGAGAGCGAGAGTGGCGGTGGTGATGGTGGCGGAGTGGTATTTTCCGGCGAAGATGGAGGAGGCGGGGAAGGGTGAGGAGTGAGAGCAGTGCGTGGAGGAGAGAGACAACAAATCCATAACTAGGTCGACAGTGGTCCGTATTGGTAATTTCAAAACCTAGGTAGTTATAGGTGGGGCAGTATACGGGTCTAAGTTTATATCCGAAATTGGATCCGATTAAACCGGAATTGGATCTCCAAATGCCCAAGTCTGTGAATATTCTTAAAAAAATAAAAAATGAAAAGAGGGTAATTACACATGAGCACAGCTACCTCCACTGAATTTTGACTCGCCCGAATCATTTGAGCCCTGGTTTGACAAATTTCTCAGGCTAAAAAATCATAAAAAGTCAAAAAAATCAACAAAAAGCTTGTAATTTTTTATATGTGGGGCAGTATACGGGTCTAAGTTTATATCCGAAATTGGATCCGATTAAACCGGAATTGGATCTCCAAACGCCCAAGTCTGTGAATATTCTTAAAAAAATAAAAAATGAAAAGAGGGTAATTACACATGAGCACAGCTACCTCCACTGAATTTTGACTCGCCCGAATCATTTGAGCCCTGGTTTGACAAATTTCTCAGGCTAAAAAATCATAAAAAGTCAAAAAAATCAACAAAAAGCTTGTAATTTCAAAATCAAAAAAGTCAAATAAGAAAATCAAACAAACAAAAAAGTCTCAGGTTAAAAAAATCAAAAAAATCAAAAAGGCAACTAAAAATCATTACCAAACAATCCCTGAATTTGTGCATGTCAATCGTCCAACCAGTCATTTGGGAACAAAGGCGATAACCTCGATTTACAAGGGTGACAATTGAGATTAACAAGGGTTGCACCGATCATCCAGCTTATAAAATTCGTACAATTCGAAAGAACTCAAATTCGGTGTATCAATCATTTTTCATTACAAATACATTCCTGAGGTTTGCTTAAAATATGATTCGTTTCCTGTAATTCTGCAAATTATATCCTACCCTCTGAAGTTTCAAATTTCATAACAAATAGTCCTTTTATTAATAAATCATCAAATCAATTAACAGTTTTTAATGATATTAGAAATTTATTTCAATTAATAATTTAAATAATTTTATCATTGTATATGAGAACAATTATGAAATTCATTTTTTCAATTACTTATGTTAGGTAAAAAATTATGATAAGGGTATTTGTAATTTTTCAAACCACATAAAAAAATCTATATTTTAAGCAAACTTTCATCCTTCAAAAAATAAAAATAAAAATAAAAATAAATTAACTTCTATATTTTGAACAATTGCTTTATTACGTGTATAAGTTTTTTAAAAAGGATCTAATAAGAATAGTCTTAGCAGTTGATCAATAATAAATATAAATATTAAAATATTTATAATTTCAATATATTTTTTATATATTTGTATATATTTTTACAACGCCACTACATCCACCAAATTTATTCAACCAGAATTCGTCCAAATGAGACTCTTCCTTGTAAGAGTTTCTCGAGTCTTATTCAAGTAAAATTGAGCATAACAAATTCGGTAGATGAATCATTAATTATACTTTTATGCATTTTTTTTTATTATTTTTTTGTTGTATATTTCTGAATACTAACAATGAGAGGGAAAATTTTTTAAGAAATTTAAGGCTCTGTTTGGTGCAGCTTTGGAAAGTTGATTCCACTCCTTCACCTGAACCGTCTATTTGGATAGCGTGTTAAAAAATTGATTCCACCACAATTTTCAAAACACACTTATGTTTTACGTTTATCAAAACAACTTGCAATTCAGAGCTCTTACACTTTTGTACATACCCTCCGATTCGTCTTCTCCATTCTAAAAAATGTTCACATGCCAAAGAAGAGCAAAGTTGAAGATGCTTGCATGTTGTCTTTACTATCCAAGATTAAAACCGGTATTGATTGAATGGTCAATACCGAGTCAATTTCTTCACTTCGAGCAGAGTCAAAGTCCTAACTCCAATCAATTTGCTGATTCTAAGGACATTTTATTTTATTGTTGGTCTTATTGATCTCGATATTGGTTAAGTTTTGTTTTCTTTACTCTGAACTTGGGTTTGATTTATTATTTTTTGGATCTACATTTGAGATTGCAATTATTATATATGAAAGATTTGGGGTTTAAGATTTTTTGGGGATTAGGAATTTGGGTTTATATATTTGGTTTGATTTTGGGTTTGAATTGTTCAACAAGAGAAAAGAGGTAGGTGACTGAAGGAGAGAGAGGCGGAAGAGGTGGTTGTGGCAGAGAGGAGGTAGAAAAAGAAAATAGATAAAGAAAGAGAGGAAACAAATATAGATGTGTGTGTGAGAGAGAGAGAAAGGGGGGGTGCAAAACACAAGGGAGGGTTGTCCGGGTGGACGACTGGCCAGAAGTTTGAGGGACGATCGGCCAGATGTTCGGGGGAAAACCGACGGTGCGATTTTGCATTGATTCAACCATTTGAATTTCACTATGCAGTTGATGTACATTGTAACATTTTTTGATTCCCCGCATACTGATGACAAATTCTTTAGCCATTTATTTGAAAATCATGCTTAACAATAAATAGCAAATGATTTGTAACAGTAATTATGCAAAATATAAAAAATATTCTAGGTCAGAAATATCTAAACAAAATAATTATAATCAAATATATATTCAAAAGTTATTTTAAAACAGTAATTGAAAATTTATTTTTTTAAAAAATATTTTGTTTGTAATTTTTCCAATTAAAAAAAATTTAATGTCATTTTTTATAAGGTATTATTTTTTGAATTGAATTTTAAACAAGATTGGTTATGCATTTTGAACATAAATTTTAATAGTATTTTTAGTTATGCATTTGATTATGAGTTATAACTCTCTGAATTAAATTCTGAAAACTTTTTTCAACATTTATAACTAAACAAATTTTCTTAACTCATATGTCACTTCAACAATTCAAAAATCTTTTCAAAACTTATAACCAAACAAATTTATCTTTTCAAAACATAATTCCAAAACTCAAACTCAAACTCAAAATACAACTCGATTATCAAATCATAATTCTAAAACTCTACCAAACGCAACATTCAAGTTTGTGTTATAGATGGCTTCCAAATAAGAAACTATGGTTTATTTGTAATGAAAAAATTATGAAGGTTCAGGTTGAGTTTGGTAATCTTCGAAGCTTTCGTTCTTTTGACAACAGGAAGGGGGAGAGAGAGAGAGAGAGTTTTCAGTTACCACTCATTTAAAATGTGTGACCAATGCATATGCTACTCTTATTTTCATCATATTCTGAGTCCATGGGCAAGAAATGGGCACCCTCAAATGTTTCAAATCAACTGAGTGATAATTCCATGAGGGAATCAAGATTAGTGACATTTCATAAGATCCACAAATGTCCTTCAGATAAGCACCTCTATGCCCGAAACAGGTCCAGGACGGAGATGCAGAGGCAAGAGACACCGGAAAGAGTACGTCCAAACTTACAAAAATGATGAGATAGTAAACATAATGCCAAGGGAAAAGAAAAACCAAGAGATGTAGATTAGTAAAATGTCTCATTAACTCCAACCTGGTTAAATTGTTAACCAAATAAAATAAAATAAAAATTGGTCTGAACAACACTGATGATGACAATTCTCTCTCCTGTGACATCACGGGAGAATCTTGCGTCTCCGGCGTGGAGTCTCTCGCTTCACATACATTTTCTCCATTTCATTCAAAGGTCTGCTGGATCCATCTGCCACGCTCATGAACTTCCATCCACCACCATTTCCACGTTTGCCCCGAGGCCCCATTTTCTCAACCGTGATACTCCAGCCCTCATCAGGACGACGCCTGCTATACTTGTGGCATTTCACCTTTCCCGCCATCTGTATACACAAACAAAACCCCCATCATCAAAAGTTTCTATAGAGGATGGGATATGGGAAGAAATTGAAAATTTTACCTTCATTTTGTTGAAGTTCATCCTTTGGACGAATTCCTGATATAACATCTCATCTTCTTTCATTGATATCTCGTAATGAACTTCATCTGGGTCCCTAGTGGTGCCATCCCAACCCTCGGGCATTACCTTGAAATCTGGTTTGTAGGGAAGAGAAGCAACATGAAATTCTCTGTCATGGGAATTGAAGAATCTGCAACAAGAAAGAAGTTAAAAAGCCACAAAGAACACTATGATAACTTTCATTGCCAAGCAGAGAATGCTAAAAGAATAGCTTATTCTTTGGAAGAAAGAACCATCCCATTCCAGAACATGTCCTGGCAAACATGAATGCCACCACAACAATCTCATGCAGAAATAACATAAATGCTTATAAGAATATCTACACTAGGGCTGTGTTTGATTTGTGGAGAGGGGAGTGGGATTGGACTAAACCGGGCCAGGATAAAAAAATCACATGCCAACTTTTATCCCGCATATGCAGGATTATTCTGTCGGGGGAAGACAATTAATCAGGGTATAACTCTTGCAAGTGAATTATTAACATGCCCCATTCCCGCCTAATCCAATATGTGAATCAAACATAACCTAGCAAAATGAAGATAAACCCACAGAACTACACATAAAAACTCCGCAAATTGTAACAAGAATCATATCAGTTGTAGAAAAAGGGGGGAAGGGATAATAATATATATATATATATAATACAAATTGCATTATGTGAATGGACAAACACAAAGATAACAAATGTGTTCAGCAATGAATCACCTATCATCAGTAGGCATGGAGAAAAAAAAATTAGAATGCACCAAGATGATTAATTGCAGCATGTTTGCGTGGGGGATTTATCCAAGCAATTATCCATTTCAACTTTTCAGCACTACTCATTAGTATTAGGATAAGAACTAAAAATCTAACAGGAACCTGTACCAACGGCAAAACCTTCATTAAAATTACCATGCCCAACCCTCATCAGCAATCCATCAAAGCAGAAGACACTTGCTCTTCAGGAAACTCCAGCTCAAGCTTTACTCTGCAGCTTGTTTGACAAACTTTGACCTCTCTGTGTGTCATTTTCTAGGGCAGGTGTCTCTGCTATCACTGAGATGTCTGGACTGTCTAAAAGTCTGTAAATAGACTTGTAATTTCTAAAAGAGAATTAATATTGCCATACCAGAAGAAGACATGTATGCTATCTTTTTATCTTTTCTTTTCTTTTTTCTTTTGATAAGTCACATCTATGCTCTCTGTTTAAGAGAGGAATAACATAGTTCTTCATCTCTCACTTTCTCAGGAAACTTGTCTTTTCTACGTTGATAAGTGTGATTCACACCCATGTCCCATAGAAGAGACATCAAACCTGGAGGGGGCAGAAGATGCCATTCAAGCTAACAGCTGGTCGTCCAATTAATCAATCAATGCAAATTATTCTCGCTTTTTGAAAATATTTTTAAAAGAATTTAGATAGAGAACTAAGGGGTTGGTGATAATGGCTGGAGTAAGCAATGAAGATAACAGGGAACAAATTAGTACAGAAGAGAAAAAGAAATTCAAAATAAAATTACACACAACTGCCACACCTGGGATAATTTTACCTAGAGTTCATGACGTCTATTCTCCAAAAAGGGAAAAATGGGGGAAATGGGAAAGCAAAATATATATAAAGCAGAGAATATTTTCTTAAATGATTAATGAGCCAATTAAGCAACTACTTAACAAGTAGTTCGCATACAGAGTAATTCTAATGGAAATGATCAATATGAAGTAATACAACTTTCAAATGAATTGTTAAAATGCTACAAGGGATCCCATAGATAGGAGCATCCATAAGTAAAAGAATCGCTTTTTTAAGTCTTAGACTATCCTCTCATGGTTATTGGCAAATGGAAAAGATTAGATATATTAGAAACTCCTAATATTTCGAATATTTTTCACACTCACATAGATAATGTTGCAATGAGTCAAAACTGACAAAATCCTAGAAGGAAAAAAAGGCATCAGGAATGCAAAAAGGTTCAAATAACTGTCATCCCAATATCTCTAAGTGTCGAGGTTAGCAATCCTTAAATTCAAAATTGTTTTTCTTTCTACACACATTATAGTAAAAAGAGATTGGCAACTTTTCAAATGAAATAACAACTGCATCTGCAACTCTAATATCCATCCAACATCCACTAAACTAGGTAACATTATCAAGCCAAGCTTAAATTAGAATCTAAAATAATTTTATGCAAACTTTGAGAGCTTACTCAGGGCAAGTGTCTAGCAAGAGCTCAACAGAGTCATCCAGAGGGTGCCCAAGCTTTTTCTCCTCTTCCTCCTCAAGTTCTTTCAGCCACAGAATCGCATGCACCCTCTGCCTCATAATTCTGTAATCTCGAGCTAACTTCTCGACGGTATATACTTCTGGGTTCTCCTTGTGAAGCCGATACATTTCAGCCTTCTCAGAGTCCTTCAGATATGCACCTCTTGCTCCAGGTTCCCTCACTTGCTTCATCAATACACTCATTTCCCGCATTTTCTCACCCCATCCATCAACAAAGGCTTTGCCCTTGCGGTTCTCTTCCTCCAGTTGCTTCAAATGGTCCACTTCTTGAGAAGCTGTTGATGCAAACTGAGGCACAACATTGTCTCTGGCAACAGCAGCAGGAGCGGTCACCTGATGACCAACCACCTCTCCGTCAAAATGCTCCTTGGTCAATCCTGTCGACCATGACGAGGCAACATCCCAACCCAAATCATCACCAGTAGGTGTAGTTCCACCAATTTTCTTCCCCCATTCACCATCCTGGTCTGCACCCCCATCAGGCTTTGTTGACAAGATTCGATAATTAAGAAAAACCTTCAGATTTGATGTGTTTGTCCCATTTTTCAATGTGCTGGTGCTTGAAGCAGCAGAAATTTGGGATATAACACGCTGCAAAATCCGCATCTCCACAGTTATGTTTTGGCACTATATCCTGTGAATAGAATAACTGAAAAATAAATTATGAGCTCCCAAGGCGACCATAAAATCTCATAGAGCCGTGCTGTTCGTTTGGTCTTACTTAAAAACCTAGAATATAAGCAATCTGATAGGCCAAGCGTCATACATATAATTCACAAAACAAAACACAACCACAAATTTTTTTTTTTTTTTTGATAAATACAAAACACAACCACATATAACACAATGCAGTATAGCCGAGATTGGCAGAGATTTTGGGTATAATGCATGTCAGGGCTCTGTATTGCCACTATGTTCCAGAATTACATAGGCAAATAGTTTACAATGACTACAAAGAATAACCACTAAATTTGGGATAGAGAACCATTTGGAATTCAAAAAGACAGAAAAAGTACAAAATAAACAAACATTGAACCCTATGTTTGTCTCTATTGTTTTGGGGTAATGATGCATGCAAGTTATTACATTTGTGGCGTTGATCCTATCAGAGCCATAACTAGAAAAATAAAAATAAATAAAATTGAGTTATAACCAAACATCACATAATGTATAACTAAAATAATATCATAACGAATATCACAATGAGTCATAACTAATACTAACACCACAATGTGTATACCCAAGTCATAATCAAGACATAACTAGCACTCCAATAGGTCATAACCAAAGACCTCAAAGGTTGTAACTAAGGGGGCATATAGTACACACCCCCAAACAATTTCCCATTGTTTTGTTCCAATAAAGAACCAAACCTTACAAGATCAGGAAGAATTTCTATATTTGGAGCCCCAAAAAAAAAAAATCCGTAATATATATTCAACACACTATTGAGCACCCAAACAAGGAACAAACAAAATGCATAGAAGACTACAACTGCACATCGCATATAAATTTTGTTTTTTTCAGTTTATAAAGAACTGAGAAAATAATTCAAATTAAACCCCCCATAAAACAAACCAAACTTAGATTAACTACTGTATTTTGAGACCCAAACATCCAAAAAACAAAAAACAAAAAACCATAACTTATGGTAGATGCACACACACATATATATATACACACATATATGTATGACTATTGACAGTATTTAACACTATAATCAACTCAATCAAGAAAACAAAACAGTAATAAACCCTAAATCATACACAATTTGGTAAACAAAACTTGAAATTGAGACAAACCTTAAGCTTTTCTAATGCTCGGAGGAATCGCTTGAACCCTAGCGATGTTGAATCAGAGAGAGAGAGAGAGAGAGAATGGTGAGCTTCAGTAAGGGGCCTGAACATTGGGCCTAAGAACGAAGAGTTCAGTAACATAGAGAAAGAGGGAGGAGTTAATTTAGGGCTGGACTTTGGGCCGGCAGCCCATAAATCTATCTATGCCAGCCCATTATTTATAGGTCTTACTATTTCTTTGTTTTTATATTTAAATTGGATTTTCAAATAAATGACCTTTTATTTATAAGGATTCTAAAAGATAACATACGTTTTAAATATTAATATTAAAAAATAATCAGTATGTTTGGTTTCAATTTTATGAATTCAATTTTTTAAAAATTAAGTTTTTTGTTTTTTATTTTTTTTATTTTTAGTGAATATTTTTTAAGTTTTAAGCATTTTTTTTTTTACGTTTTTAGATGTACCTTACTTAAATGTATCTAAATAGTAAATTATTTGTGAAAAATAATTTAAAAAATTAATAAATATACAAAAATATGAAAAATGTACTAATTTTTTGTATTTTTTTGTATTCTTGGTATTTAGTGAATTTTTTAAAGTTTTTTTTGACAAATATTATGCTTTCTAAGTGTATTTATGTTAGGTGTGTCTAAAATTTTTTTTTGAAAAAAATTGCTTAAAATATTAAAAAAATCAGTGAAAATAAAAAAATACGAAAAACAAACTAATAGAATTTTCTGAAAAGTGAATTCTAAAAACTGGAAACAAATAATATTCAAAAGTTTATTTTTTTTAATTTCTTACATCACATATATAGCATTAAAATTATTCTTCTCAAATTTTTAACTTCCTTCCTACGTGGTGCTTTTTGGAACGGAAAAATTAGTCTAACATCTCTCTTCAACTTTAGATAGTAAGAGAGGTCATAATAATTTTTTTGTTAGTTAAGGTCCATATTCGTTTTTTATATTGTAAAATACCTAATTCATAAAATACGTTGATTTTGATTTGAGAATTGAAGATCTTTTTTGCTATGTTGATAGAGATTGCAAAGAGATTAGGGTTTGATTCTGATTTCGATGGTAATTGTGTAGGGATTTCAATTTTGATTTCAATTTGATTTGTATGTAAGGATTTCGATTTCGAATTAAATTTTCGAGTTGATTTCTGATCGTGTTGATGGAGATTGCGTATGGATTGGGTTTTTTTTTTGTTGTGTTGATAGAGATTGCATAGGGATTGGATTTTGATTTTCAATTTTGATGGAAATTGCATAAGGATTTTGATTTTGATTTTGATTTGATTTGTATGTAAGGATTCCAATGTCAAATTAGATTTTCTAGTTAATTTATGATCATGTTCGCTCTTCGTTGTTCTAGTAGAGTTGATTTAAAGTTGTTCGTTGTTTGTTGTTCGTTGTTCTTTGTTCATTGATTTTTTATTAGTAAATTTCTCTAACTACATTTTGCAGACAAATTTTATATGCAAGTCAGATTGCAAGCGTGTGATGGCCAAAGAAGATCGACATGGCATAGAAATTTCAAAGAAAATCAAATATGTCAGAGAAATTATCATGCAAGTAAATATATCTGGCTACATTTACAGAGAAATTCCAGAGAAAGTCAAATGTATTAAAGAAAATCAACATGCAAGTAAATTTCTCTAACTACATTTGCAAAGAAATTTCAGAGGAAATCAAATGTGTTAGAGAAAATCAACATGCAAGTAAATTTCTCTTACTACATTTGCAGGGAAATGTTATATGCAAATCAGATTGCAAGTGTGTGATGGCCAAAGAAGATCAACATAGCAAAGAAATTTTAGAGAAAATCAAATGTACCACATAAATTAACATACTCTGACTACATTTATAGAGAAATTTTAGAGAAAATCAAATGTGTTAGAGAAAATCAACATGCAAGTAAATTTATATTTGTAGAGAAATTTCAGAAGAAATCAAATGTGTTGGAGAAAATCACCATGCAGGTAAATTTTTCTTACTACATTTGCAGAGAAATTTTATATGCAAGTGTGTGATAGCTAAAGAAAATCAACATTGCATAGAAATTTCAAGAAAAATCAAATTTTCCAAAGAAATTAACATGCAAGTGTGTAATGTGTCCAATGAAAATCAAGTTTTTTTGACTACATTTGTAGAGAAACTTTATATACAAGTCAGAGAAATTTCATAACCACAAGAGAGTGTCAAGTGTGTAAAATGTAAAGTGACTAGAGCAAATCTACATCTTAGAGAAATTTCACACACAGGTCGAGAAATAACAATTGTGTGTGATGGCCAAAGAAAATTAATATGCTAGAGAAATAAGTGTGTGATAGCCAGAGAAATTTCATAGATGAACATACACACACATGAACACACAAACAGACTCAGAGAAATTTCAAAGGGATTGTGATATATTTAAAGAAATTCCAGTGAAAAACAAACAAGCCAAAGAAATCACTGTTAATTCAGATTTTCATATTTAAAGATTATAGGGGGCGGATGTACGGATGTCCAGAGAAATTTTAGAATTTGTCAAAGAAATTTCAAGATGAAACCCTAATTGCGAACAATGATGAACTGAAATGAAGATGAATTGCCTTAAGGCTGAACGGTGAAAATGCGTCAGAGAAATTTAGTTCGGTGGTGAGAATGAAAATGCTTTCACAAATTTTGCTATCAATCGTGAAGATGGAACCCTAATTTCACTGTTGATTGTGAAGATGATGAACTCGATCATGGAGACGATGAACTCGCTCATGGAGAAGATCAGTTGTCCAAAAAAATAATAGCTAAATTTCTCTATGGATGGTGGAGGGTATTTTGGTCCAAAAACTGAATACAAAACACGCCCTTTTTTTTTTCAGGGACCTAAGCTACTATATTTCTTTTTAGTGTCATTTATCCTCTAAATTCATATTATTATGGACTTTTAAAAAATTTCCCCTTTTGAAACACTAAACTTTTCTTTTCTTTTTTTTATTTTGCCTGAGGAAATTACTCAAAAAAAACTCAAGAGTTTTACTTTTATAACAAAACTAGCAGTTAACTTGTGCAATACACAGATTAAAATGTATAATAATCTTAACCATATCCTTTTATAAAAGTGTTATTTAAATAAATATATAATAATTTTAGATAAATTATTTATGTGTATTTTAATAATTTAGCCCTACTGTGCTATAAAAATATAATTTAAATAAGTATATATAATAATTTTATATAATATTAAATTATAACATAGTAAAAGAAATACTTATTTTGATAATTTTAGCTCCATCATAATATAAAAATATTATTTAAATAAATATATGTAATGATTTTGTATGATATTAAATTATAACATAATAAAAGAAACACTAATTTTGATATTAAAAATGATAGTAATGGTTATAAAATTAAGAACAAATATGACATGCCATTTGCTCCATTTGTAGGAGTCAATCACCATGGACAGTCTATTTTGCTTGGTTGTGGATTGTTATGTAGTGAAGACACCGACACATTTGTTTGGCTATTTAAGTCGTGGTTAAGTTGCATGTCAAATAAATCTCCAAAAGCTATCATAACTGATCAGTGCAGAGCTATGCAAAATTCTATAGAAATTGTCTTTCCACAGGCCCGACATTGATGGTACTTATGGCATGTAATGAAGAAAATACCGGAGAAGTTGAAAGGATATGCTCGGTATGAACCCATGAAGTTGGCTATGCAAAATGCAATTCATGATTGTTTGACAACAGATGAATTTGAGGAAAAATGGGAAGAGATGCTTACTAAATTCAATCTTTATGATAATGACTGGTTGGGGGTACTATATCACGAGCGGCATCGATGGGTTCCTGTATATGTTAAAGACATTTTTTGGGCTGGCATGTCAACAACACAACGAAGTGAAAGCATGAATGCTTTTTTTGATGGATATGTCAACCCGAAGACTACATTAAAACAATTTGTTGAACAATATGACAATGCGTTGAGAAGTAAGGTAGAGAAAGAGAAGAAATCAGACTTCAAGTCTCGATACAAATTGTTTGATTGTCTAACTATATATGGCTTCGAGAAGCAATTTCAACAAGCCTACACCAATGCAAAATTCAAAGAAGTTCAAGGAGAGCTGAAGAGATTAGTGTACTGTCAAGCCGTGATTGTCAGAGAGGAGGGAGCAATTTGTACATATAATGTCCAAGAAGCGATGGTAGTTTGTGACAAGATGAAGCATGTGGACTTTGTTGTGTATTTTAATTCAATTGAATGTGAAGTTCAGTGTATGTGTCGGTTGTTTCAGTTTAGAGGGATTATGTGTGCTCACTCACTCGCGGTGCTTGTAAGAAGGTGCATAAATGAGGTGCCAAGTAAGTACATTTTGCCACGTTGGAGGAAAGATTTGGTTCGAGAGTACACATGCATCAAAACCACGTACACTGACTTTGGAGATGATTTCAATACAAGTTGTTATGAGAGGATGAACAAGAAATTGATCGCCATTATACAACTTGCTGGTAATTCGAAAGGGAAAATTAAAATTATAGACCATGGGTTGGATGAAATGAAGGATAGAGTCATGCACGATGAATCGGGTGATGGGAGTAATTTACCACATTCTACTAATAGGATACCATCTTCTACAAAAAGTCCAATTGCCACCGGATGTACATCGGGTGCTAGTACGAGAAAGGTGGTTAGTCCTTTGGTTGTTCGGCGAAGAGGCCGTCCAGTAACGAAACGAAAGGTTGCCAAAGTAGATCAAATAGTGAATCGGTTCAAGGCAACGGCAAAAAAACAAACAAAAACAAAGGTAAATTATATATGGAATTGAACTTGTTTTTTAATTTTTTAACAAACACTTTTCAATTACATTTTTACAAACTCTTAAACCAATATAGGCTGCAAAGGTTCTTCAATTTGAAGCTCAAGCTCAAGCTGAAGTTCAAGCTCAAGTTCAAGCTAGCTCAAGCTCAAGCTGAAGTTCAAGCGCAAGCTCAAGCTGAAGTTCAAGCTCAAGTTCAAGCTCAAGCTCCAGCTTATACATCATATTATCCATATATGGTTGGCATGCAAAATAGTGTGTATGCACCGGTATGTGTTCATAAGACGACTTTACATTCATTTTTTGTTTTCATTTACAAATATTTTGTAACATGTCTTTTTTT